TCCCCCCTGAGCATGATGATCTGTGATATGAATATCCCTTTGGGAGTTCAGGTCAGCTGTCCTGTCTGTGCTCCCTCCCAGCTTCTTGTGCCCCTCCTCACTGGCAGAACATGGGAAAGTGAAAAGTCCTTGATTTAGATTAAGCACTACTGAGCAAGAGCTAAAACACTGGTGTGTTATCAACAGTATTCTCATACTAAATCCAAAACACAGCACTGCACCAGCTACTAAGAAAATTAACTCAAGCCCAGCCAAAATGAGGACATAAGATCGAAAAGAAAAAGCTAGAGTTATAATCAAATGCATAGAAGTGTTGAAAGAGCGAAAGCAAGGATGAATTTTCCACTTATCCAAGCAGAGGCCAAATTCATTTTGCAAGAAGTTAACTGAAACACCAGTGAAATCAGTAGTTGCATTGCAACTCAAAAGGAGTGGACTGCTCATTCTGCCAGGAGCATATATTCAGGTCTTTGGAAGAAAGGCACTGTGTTGGAATATACTTTGCAGAAGGAGTTAGTAAGGGATGTCAACCCCCTACATTCTAGACCTGAACCCTCACCCAAGTTTACTGGGTTTTAAAACTGGGCAACACTTAAAAAAGGTTGAGTTTTTAAGCGAACATAAACTTGAAACTATGACTTCTGGCTGGTCATTGTCTGTCTCCAAACAACCAACCTGAACCTACTTGGTTCTATAGATCTCTACCAGGTAAAACTGATTTCAGGATTCCTCTTGAAATGTGTTATGGGTCAAGATAATTTATTTTTTGATGACTGAGCCTCAGCTTGCAGTTGGAATGAGCCATGGATACTGGATGTTTCATCTCCCTTTCCTCCACCCGCTGAAGGGCTCCATGCAGAACAGCCAATACTGAAACCAAACAAAGGGGATTCTGAAAGCCTGGCGTTGCTTTTGTTTTTATTACACAAAAATCAAACAAGGGATTAGGAAGCAGACAGCCCAGGCTGTCATTTCCTCTGTGTGCTCCCAGACTTCCACTCCAGCAGACTCAAGGGACAGATTTAATCACCAGACAGACAGGTCATCTGACAACAAGTGGTTTAAATTAATCCGGGAAAAGGCACTGTATATCCAACACCTCTCAAACTCTCTACTGGGATGTTTTCTTGCTTTTTGGCAAAAGCAATTTAAGCCACCCACTTCCAGGGAGGCTGCATGTTTCCATACAGATACAAATCTCTTGGCTTGTGTACCACTTTTGGGACACATCATTCATTCTTGCCCTAAATGTCCCTCTACCATTCAACACAGCCTGCCCAGTGCTGAAAATACAGCTGCTGCTCAGTGCTTTTCAACACTCCATCTTCAGAGCTCTAATAACCAGGTTGCTATCTTTGCCCACAATTTATGGCTTAGAAAAACAGAGTCAGCAGGGCACCGTGACCCAGCTACACTCGGCTTAACACAGAGAATTGCTTGTGCTAAGTTTACAAATATGGCATTAGTCCAGTTGATAAATTTAGTGAATAAATGTATTTTAAGGACGAGTAGAAAGATCCAGAGTTCCAAATTCAGCTTATGAATCTGCTCTTCCTATTTTGCACTTACCAAGACAGATCAAGATTTACCTCTTTGATACGGAAAACAACCAGGAACTGCATTTGAATCCTTCAGTGTGCTCTGCTACTATTCTTCATTACATACTTACAAAAACTTTTCAGATAACTTGCACTGAGTCTGAAAAGAAACATACTGGTTTGGAATTGATCTTTATGCCTACCATAGGATGCTACAGGAGTGGGCACAACACCAGGGCCAAAAATTCAAGAGACAGCACTGCTGTAGCACTGCAGGTGCATCAGGACTAAGTATCACCTGGTGTTCCCCATCCATCTGAAAGTGTTTTAACACACTTAGTCATTAATCAGGGCCAGCTCCTGTCACAAACTGCAGTCTCCCCACAGCTCCTTCAGCACAATGACTTCTTAATGCAGAAATCTGATCAGAACACTCCCTATCTCAATCTCTTTGAAAAACCCTCTTGGTTAAGGAACAAGAGAGCAGGATTATTTAATAAAGTATCATTTCCTTGAAGCCAGCTGTGTAGCAAGACACTGCTACTCCCTCTTGAACTACATCCTATTATACTGTTCTGTCAGTCCAGTCCTGCCATCTTTGCAACGTCTGGAAAGAGGGACCAGCTCTTCTCCTATCCACTATTATGATTATACATACAAGAGTAGGATTACTCATCTTTTATATGTGGATATCTGAAAGCATGGCAGGCAACAAAAGTCACACAGCATGGGCAACAAACAGGAGGAGCTGGAAGCCATCGTGCAGCAGGAAAACTATGACATAGCTGTCATCACAGAATCATGGCAAGATGACTTGCACAACCGGAGTGCAGCAATGGATAGCTGTAAACTCTTCAGCAAGGGTAGGCAACGAAGGAGAGACAGTGGGGTAGCCCTGTGTTTTGGGGAGTGTTTTGATTGTCGAGAGCTTGATGATGGTGATGGTAAGGTTGAGTGTTCATGGGCAAGAATTAGGGAGAAAAACAAGGTAGATATGGCTGCTATAGACCATCTAACATTGATGAAGAGGCAGATGTAATACTCCATAAGCAGCTGGGAGAAGTCTCCCAGTGGCTATCCCTTGTTGTCATGGGGGACTTCAGCTTACCAGATGTCTGCTGGAAGCACAATACATTGGAAACAGTCTAGAAGGTTCCTAGAGTGTGTGTAAGAGAACTTCCTTACACAGCTGGTGAGGGAGCCAACCAGGGAAGGTGCCTGCTGGACTTGTTGTTTGCAGAGACTTTACTGCTCTCTACAACTACCTGAAAGGAGGCTGTAGCGAGGTGGGAGTCAGTCTCTTCTCCCAAGTAGCAAGTGGTAGGACAAAAGGAGATGGCTTAAAGCTGGATTGGATATTAGGAAAAAATGTCTCCACCAAAAGGGTTGTCAAGCACTGGAACAGGCTGCTAAGAGAAGTGGTGGAGTTACCACCCCTGGAGGTATTTAAAAGACATGTAGAAGAGGCTGGGGGGCCTGGTTTAGTGGTGGACCAGGCAGTGCTGGGTTAATGGCTGGACTCTGATCGTAAAGGTCTTTTTCAACCTAAACAATTCTATGAAGCACTTTGGGAATTTCCTTCTGTCTATCCAGAGTCAAAAAAATGAGTTTCTGGTATGATGCAGAGTCCATCTTTGAATATATTAACAGGATAAACTTGCATTGCCAACCTGACCTGCAATTAACCTAGCAGATACAGTCTGTTTTCTTCATTAACACTTTGCTGAGGTAATTATTAGAGGCTCAAAAGAAAGATTAAAAAGGGTGTTCTGTTCCTGGGTTATTTAAATCCTCTACAGAAGGAAATGCACTAGACGCCCTGTCAACCATTTTGTTCCCAGTACCACTCAACTTCTCTTTCTGCTGCTGTTCTATAGAAACAACATGAACTGGACATGTCTGTGGTGCCTTTTGCATCTGCGTCACCATGCTGTTGAGCATCCCTCCCATAGCATTAAAAAGCACTTTGTGATTTTGGTTTCAGGAGACAAGCACAAACTTCTCAATTTTACTACTGCTGCTGAGAGATGGGTGAAAAAAAAAATAGGTCACCCTTTTGTTTCATAGCCTGTACCCTAAATCCTGCTCTAACCACACTCCTCCATTTTTGGCAACAATGCTCAGTTGACACACGCTGTATTTTAGAAGGAGACAGACCTCAGACACAGTCTGAGGGGTTTTTCCTCTTCATGAGTAGGTATGATGGGCTTTTCTAGTTCTTAAAGATGCACTTACTGCTCTATTGTTTTCATGTTTCTTTCAGAATTTCACAAGGACACGCTGAAAAAGATTTCTACAAAATGTACTGAAGCTATCATGTACTTTATTTCTTGTTATAAAAGCTGCCTCAGCTGAAGGCTGCTGGACAAACAAGAATTAAGAAACTATTTTAATGCAGACTCTGGCTCTGTTCCTAAATTCTAAAAGTGCCTATACATAAAAATAAAATTAAATTAAATCCTCTATTTCCCAGTACATAAAAAAATTAAATCAAAGTAAGATTGCTCCTCTGTTCATTTAATTAAATTAGAAAGCATTAAGTTTCAAATGTCCATGTCTTGATACAAGAACAACAAAACCAACCAAATGCAGCAGAATAGGCTTTAGCTTCTATCAACTGATTTGTTACCTTTATCTACCCATCTCATTAACTCAGGCATTATCATCTGGATGCGAATCAGGTCCACATGTTTTAACTGACTGTTGTGAAATTACTCATACGCTGCTTGCATAAGTAAACTTGGGTGAAACAGCCTGAGCTGAGGACAGCAATGAGAGATGTTTTCCCTCTGCAAGAAGCGACATGTTTGCATAGAGCTTCTACATTACAGCAAGGATGATTATCAATCTTTCATAATCTGAATTTGAACAAAAGCTAACCCCTGTCACTAATATGAAAGGAGGCTTCACAGATGACAGCAGGAGAAAGCTATCCCTTCATTTGGTGAGGAAAGAAGTGGTTTAGGGTAGCTTCACTTCTGTCAGAAAGTAAAAGACAGAAAAGGGTTACGATTTGTATGTCAAGAAAACGGTGTTGCAAACCTTCAGCAATGCCTGACCTGAAGACAAAAATCACACTGCAAACCTCCCAGTGTGACGCAGGGGTGTTACAGGAGGAGAAATGGAGAAAATGTTCTTATTTCAAATTCATTCTCAGCTGGAGTCAAGGTAAGCCTATTATATACTAAAATGCTTTTCCCAGCTTTTTTCCCTAACAAGTTGGTATGGAATAATTGCTAATAGTACCCTAGATAGTCATTCCAGTGCTGGGTGGCATCATAAGAACAGCACTGCATGAGATTTCCACTTGCTAGGATTGTGTGTCCCAAAATAAAAGGAGAAGAATAGAGATCCGCAAAGACGAAACTATTCAAAGGAAATAAAGCACCATCTAAATTGTACAAAAGGCTGTCAGTACTAACACAGGAAGTCCAAGAAAAATACAATTCTCACACAGTAGGATTTCATAATTAAAGGGGTTTTTTTATTTCTTCACTTTTTCCTTAATACAAAGCTTTGGCATCAGCAAATTTTATGAAAAAATAGAATGTACTAAATAATTGCTTGTGCTGCATGATCGATAAATGAGGCATAAAAATAGGTGTCTCTCTCCAAGGCAATCGGCCGGAAAGCGTTTCTTCAATACCATTCTGCTCTGTGGGGCAGAAAAAAAAAGGAACAAAATATTTATATTAAAGTTAATACTGCCAGTACTAAAATAAATCAATCAATCCTGTAAAAGTAAGTTAATGAGAAATGACTAATTATACAAGCCAGAGCATTAAGAGGTCCTTTCATCATTCTTACATGACCAGTAAAACACAGGAAAAAGGCTTGAGCACTTTCGACCTTCTGAGGAAACTCCATCTGCTACTGACAACTTTCAGTGGTGATATCCAACATCTGGGCTTTTTGGACTTTTAAGCAGTTGTACAGTAATTTCTCAAACTTCTTTCTATTCCCAAGAAGCAGTTTGCTTCTTTTGTTCCTTTAAATCACTACCTAATTCATTTAATAGTAACAGTCCACAAATACTACAAGTCCAAGAGAAAGCAGCTGTTTCCTTATTCTCATATCACTTAATGTTTACTTTTATCAGGGACTATTTAAAAATGCATGTATGTGTGTATATATACATATGCACAAACATATATACACACACACACAGTTAGGTATGTATATACACACAATCCAGAACTAATGCTCTAAATAAATGTTTAAGCTGCAGGAAGGACACAGTAAAAAGAAAGGATCAGGACATGTTTTTAGGTGAGTTTTAATGCAGAATATTTGGCACATTTACTTGCATCAGCATATTACATGGCCTCATTCTTGCTACTGTTGTTTTCTGGTAAGAAAAAGACCTTCAGATTCCTCTTGAAACACTACTGTAACAAATGTAGGATATGCCAGCACTGCTTTTTATTTGGAGAACAGCATAAAAAGCAGGTATGCTGTTACAACATTTAATGGGAATCTCAGTGAGAGGCGGCTGCCATGTATTTGGCATGATATTCAGCACAGGAAATGCTTAGTCTGCACTGAGGAACATAAGGTGTCAATTAAACAATAAATCTAAGGATTAGTGTCATACATTCACATTTTAAACTGTCTAAAATGAGTAGTAGAACCTGGCAGCACTTGTAGAGGCTGCTTAGATCCCAAAGGATTCAGCTGAAAAGCTGTTGAGGATGAAGGCTACAGCTAGGTGCCTCAGTTCTATGAATAAGTGATTTCTGACAGCTCTGGTTTCTGCAGTTGCTAGTTTTCTTAAGTCTGCCTTAAAGTAAAGCCTTGTATATGTTCATATTTTCATTCCTAGCACTGGGGAAAGGAGCTCTCTCCTTACATCAGCACATCCTTTGTTTGTACTAAGGAAACATCACTGTGAAAACACTTTGCTGGAGGCCCTAACTCTGGCAGTGTGGAGCAGCTCGCCCTTTCAGTAAAAATATGCCCAGATCCCACAGAGCAAAAGACAACAAGAAGAAGAGTTGCAAGGCAGGCAGAAATGCAACTGCTATCAGTGCCCACATCTGGATGATCCTACACAGGCTACAGTTCCTTCTCTCCTTCCTAATGATGTGGAAATGCCCAGAAATGCAGCCATTCCTGTTTCACAACGTATCTTGCTCCCTGCTTTCCCAAGCTATTTTTCAGTGCAGATTAACTACGTTCAGCCACAGCTTTGCTGCCAAGCTGCTGATCGATAGTGGGAATTCCAAGATTTTGACAAATGGGAAAAAATAAATAAATCAGGAGACCTGACAAGGCTGTTTGAAGTTCTAAAACTTTTTTTCATTAACCCTTTTTGGAATTAGCATCTGAAAAGAGGAGGAAAGGAAGATCTGCAAATTAGTGGTAATAAAGGTTCCTGATGACCAAAACCTCTAAGAACTTATGGCGCCTTCTGAAGAAGATGAGCTTAAAGCTGTCTAAAATATTACACTGGGGACTATTAGCCATGTTTCCATCTTATTGAGAAGGACACCTTATACTTTGCAGGCAGCAATAAAAGTAAAAAAAGCACTTCTCATATTAAAAAAAAAATAAAAAATCATGTTTATAACATTACATTTCCAGGCTGTGCAGGAGAATGCCTTTGAATCTCAGCCCAATTTTGGTAAGAGATCAACACACTAATGGAAAGCATCAAGATGTCCTGAGGCAAAGAAAGATTCTGACACTTCCCCTCCCCAAACAGATAATGATTAAGTATGTATCATGAGCCCAGATGTTCCATACACCAGATGTACCCAGTTAATAAATCTGCAGAATTGATTTATAATTGCCTACACAGAACTATAAAACAGTGAAAGTCAGGTGCTAGAGTCATTTCTTGCCCAGCCTGTCTGGAGGGAGGCACTGGGGTGTCTATAATAATTGAGAAAGCATGGATGTCTTTAAGCATTCCTTTGACTGTAATTCTTAAGCATACTACAATGAGAGCTCAAAAGGCTGGTCTGCTACCTTCACTTGAGAGAAGAAACAGTAGTGTATTTGGTACTTTTGTATCTCCCTCTCCTGAAAGCAACAAGTTAGTTTTATATTTAAATACCTTTATGCTTTGCTGAATGGGTGCCAACTAGGAATGCAGGTTTTTATTTTTATTTAATATGAAATTTGATTATGATTTTGAGGTGAAACTGTCAAAGATAACTGATAGTAGTAATTTTTGGTTCTGCCAGGTGAATCTTGAACATGGATATTTAATGGCAGAAATCTAATGTTTACCTAGATCATTGATCAGAACCTAAGTATAAATATTCTCTTTTCCCTGTTCCATGTTCTCCACTTTGCAAGAAGGTTTCCCTCAACAATACAGCTAAATATAAATTAAGAGGGATTTAAATGTTATATTGGAGCCTACTGTTAGGAGAGAGACATTAGAGAAATGCAGAAAGGGCATTTGATTCTTTGAAAACTATGCTTTTCCTATTTCTTGGTATTTGTTCCCAATGTTTCCATGACACCCACCCACCAGGAATATATAGAAACATCTGAATTTTTACTTACTCATTAGCATTCAAGCTAGCTGTGGCTTTGATGATCATGTAGCAGAGTGTAAGGGCACTGAGGAGGCCAAAACTGGCAATAATAAACCATTCTTCTGTTGACAAAGGAAAGGGAGGAAATCACTCGTGGGAGAAGGCTTATGTCAAAGCGATGCCAATATTCCCCTCAAACACCACTGGCGGAAGGCAAGAGGCTTCTAAGCCATGACTGGCACCAGGAGGTGAAGCAGAAGGAGGTTAGCCACAGAGTTACTGACTGGAGAAGGCTAGCAAAGAAGAAGTGGAGAAAGGTGTGGAAAAAAGCATGGCACAACATTTCCTGGCTGATCCCAAGGGTTAGTGACAAAGAGAAATTACTTAATGTAAAGTGAAATGCAGAAACAAGGGGAAATGTAATGAAAGCTCTGTCCACCCCCAAGTTAGAAAGAAGATTGTTAGGGTTGGTTTAGATTAGCTGAGATGTGGTTCTTCACATAAGCACACCCAATATACTTTCACACTTAACTTGTGTCTTCACCACCCTCCCCACCCTGCCCCAGTAAATGCTATAGTGTTATTTTAAAAGCCTACAAAAATAGGATGGCTTGTCCAATAGTAAAACATCATTAGAGTGTTCCATTAAACAGACAGGAATAAGACATGGGAAAGTAATTTCAACATTAGTGCATACATGCAGGCACACTGAAAAAATAAGTAGTATAAAGCAGGCTATTATAGAATGTTCACTATTCAAAGTTCAATTTGGCACTTGCAATAGCTCAGAATACAAAGATGTTTGCTGAATATAGCTTTTGGCTTAACTCGCATGCATCAAAGAATGCATGTGTCACCCATAAAATCCAAACATTTGAACAGCCTTTCCTAAAGCCTTATTTTATAAACATTGTCAGAATGAACTGTTGCTGATTGTTTCTTGCTTTATCCTTGGCATCCCATCTGTGCAAGAGCAGTGCTACAGTTGGGAACAGAGTGAAAATACCTTCTGTAAAACCAATCAGTGAAAAGTTTCAGCTAAACTACAGTTTCCCCATTCATGGCAAGGAAAGCAGCACACCAACAGATTTGCTCTCTGTTCAACAGAGCTGAATACAAGACGAATCAAACGTCGAACACTGCATGACAAAGTGACTTATTTGCTTTGTAAAGTACCCAGGTTTTATATGTGGATTTTAATTTCTCAGATCAGGACACTTCTGGATACAGACTATGTGTTTTATGAGATTTTTTTAACAAGACATTTACTTTGCTGCAGCCTCTAAAGAAACACTCCAATGGACTGCATCAGTTACATTGCCTCTTATGTATGTATCAGTGGCAAACAGTGTCACTAAGTTCAAAATCCAGATCATAGATGCACATCAGCAAAATACAAGGAGGAAATTAGACTGTTGTCCTGCATGCATTCTATTATTGCAATTCAGACAGAAAGCCAACCATTCACGCATAAAATTGAGACTCTAGAGCATATGGAAAAATTATGCCATTTCAGACATCGTGTTCACTGTAGTGCTATCATACATTAAAAACCCTAGGTAAAATCCAGTGTGTGGAAATTTCCCATGCTGTTCTTACGGATGACAGCTTGCAAGCAGTGCAGGAACAGTTTTCTGATGTCATAACTACTTGGACAATACTCAAATGTTGATACATCAAATACTTCTTTTTAATTCACAATTTTTGGGACAAAAACCATCTGCTAAGAGACATCAAAATTCCAGTAGTAATGTTCTCAGGGGGAAAAAAATCTCCGCAGAAATAGCAAGCAGCTAAAATATTTATATTTGTATAAATTATGGCATGTTAAGTATTCTGAAAGGGTAAATAACGGTTTTGGCAACCCAGCTTCTCATACTGGTCACCAAATTCAAGAGGGTCGTTTTGTTGCCATTTTAGGTCATCCAGTGTTCTTTCCATGCAGATCTAAATGGATATACCATTAATAATAGAAGTGTTGGCACTGTCATACCTAGAGTTATCAGTTTCAATACAGAGCATATGCCTCTTACAGAGACACTGAGGTCACCTTTGTTCCTGCAGGGAAATCTTTCACCACGGCCCTGCAGCACAGAGCCACAGCAGAGCAAGCACCACATACCACAGAAACCATAGAAGAGTATTGGAAGCCAAAGAAAACTTACTTGTCACAGCAATGTTGATCTCTCCTGACCTTGGCGTTAGCTCCCCATCCTGTGGAAGCTGTGACATCCCAGAGGTGCGCAGGGGCTCCAGGCTGAGAGAGCTGTCATTGGCAAAATCACTGAGTGCTGATCGCCTGCTCGCTGGCTGGCCTCTGGTGAGCCTTTCCATGTCAAAGGCTACGTTATCTGTACATGGCACGTTTGGCTGGAGGGATAAAAGCAATTCCACATTACAAAAGTGAATATTCTACATGAAGCAAACCTATAAATGGAGTAAACCCACACATACACACTTTATTCAGCCACTATGGCTGTCCTCAGATCACACAAGAGAGGAAAACATGAATTAGCAACTTCTATCTGAAGTCGCTACTTCATTCCCTCTTAAAGAAGTGAAGGAAGAAACAGGTAAAAGGATTAAGGTTCAAAAAAGGAACATAAATATGCTAGTATCGCAGCCTATACCTATATGGTTTACCACTGTGAGCAATGATGACATGCACCAAATCCTCCCGTACGCTCATCTAAAAATCCAGATATGACATTATTAATTGCAAAACCAGTTCATCCACAATATAACAGTGCAACTTACCACAATTCCCAGTGCCTTCAAAATGTTCAGTTTACACATTGGACATGTACAGTGCTCGCTAAGCCATGGATCCACACAGGCTTTGTGGAAAACATGCCTAGAGGAACAGACAAGCACACAAAAAATTTTCAAGCAATTCTATTTCACATAATGGGAACTATTTTAAGAAACCTTTAGATAGCTGATTTTCAAATTTAGGCAGCAGAACAAATTCTAGAATTGTCAGTATTCTGTGCTGACAGCAATAAGAAAAAAAATAAATCAAAACCTCTTGCTTGTTGTTGCCACCCTTTGCTAATAGTTCAACTAGGAAGAAAAACACTTAACAGAAGGATTCTTCACCTCCCCTTTTATTGCAGATATGAGTATGCACATGGGCAGAATAACTAGGGTAACAAAGTCCCCACTATAAACTTACATAAAGTTTTCACTCCATTTCTATATAGAACCTGGCCATAAATTGGGCAGGAGGAGCACAGATTGACCAGCAGTCAATTTTGTTCAAAAGTCCCTACAAGCAATCCAAGCACATTTATGTTTGATTTAGAAAGGGTTTTATAATTACCACATTTTAAAAAAAAGAAAGCTTTCCCTACAACCAGTATTTCTTGATACCATGAAGGAAAACACATCCATCATCATATAATGGTCATGAGAAACACAAAAAAGAACACAAACAGAAAAAGAATAATCTTTCAAGGATGAAAAGGCAAACCAGGTTTCTACTTGCATAGCAGTGAACTCTGCTATCGAGAACAGTCTGAACAGCCACCTACATTGCATACAAAATCTTAAGTCACATACACAAATAGAAATACAACAGTATTGGGATTGATATAAACCAATACAACAAGGAAGTATTATGCAGAGACCAAAACAATGTATCTAAAGTAATGGAATTACAGGAAATGGCTCTGTCGTGGTTTAAGCCCAGCCAGTAGCTCAGAACCACGTAGCTGCTCACTCACATTCCCTTTTCCCCCCACCCCAGGTGGGATGGAGAGGAGAATGGAAGGAATGTAAACCCCATGGGTTGAGATAAGACCAGTCCAATAACTAAAATATAACATAAACCTACTACTACTACTAATAATGATAAGGGAAGTATCAAGAGGAGAGAATATAAAACTAAAAGGGAAGGAAAAAACCCACCTCAATAAACAACAGTGATGCACAATGCAATTGCTCACCACCCACCAACTGATATTAAGCTTGACCTGAGCAGTGATCTGGACCTCTCAGGTGACTCCCCACGGTTTCTATACTGGGCATGACATGCTGTGGTATGGAATACCCCTTTGGCTAGTTTGGGTCAGGTGTTCCATCTCTGCTTCCTCCCAGCTTCTTGTGCCCTTCCTCACTGGCAGAGCATGAGAGACTGAACAGTCCCTGATTAGAGTATGTACCACTGAGCAACAACTAAAACATCAGTGTGTTGTATCAGCATTGTTCTCAGACTAAAGCTGAAACACACCACTGCACCAGCTACTAGAAAGGAGAAAAATAATTGTTACAGCTGAACCCAGGAGAGACTTCTTGGCTTTTGAAAAGACAAAAAACTTATCAGAGCATATTCAGAGCAGAAATGGGTATAACTAGACTTCCTACACATTACAGCTTTAGCAACTACTCAAAACCTAGTCTGACTACTGCCTACAGTAAGAGTCCAGATCTTTCATTTCCAGTGGCAATGACTGCAAAGCAAAAAGCCAGCAAGAGCAGGCACACCCAAACAGGACAGCCTGGTGATCATGACAAAGATCAGCAATTACCAGGGCTGCTTAGCCAGTGAAGAGCTATGCTCTGAAACCAGCAGGAAAGGGGCAGTGGCAGAACAAGGAGCTCTTGCCATCTATTTGAGGCACCAGCACAGTCCGTAAGAGGTCATGCATGCCCCCAAGGCAGCACAAAGTTGAGATACTCTGTCCCCTCCCTTCTTAGATTATACTTGCTGCTCTATGCCTCAGTAAACTCCTCATGGGGTCACAGACTTCTTTGCTCCCTACCCCTTGGGATTTCAAAACCAGAGACCCAATGAGGCATATTACCAGGTAATTCTCTTTCAAGTCTCTGGAAAAAGGCCCAAGAAAAAGACTCCTGAATTGCTAATAAGCATGGAAAAGACAGTATATAATTACATTTTGTCTGTGGCTCATAAGACTGATGGAGGAACTAAAATATAGCAATATGCTAGGCTCCAGTCAGCTACAACTACATATCCTACCTGTACTAACTAAAGATGCATAGACTTACAGGCAACAGAAGACGGACAGGGAGCAAGAGAACTTTGCTTATCTATAATCCAGATATTGCAGGAACAGAAACTTAGAGGATCTCCACCACTTTGCTGGCCTGTCCCTTTTAGCAATATAGCAATCATGAAAAACAGGGTACATACAGTGATTACTGTTCTAATCATTGCACAAAACACAGACTCGCTTTATCGTTATTAGGTCTTACTGCATTCTCTTTATTACTCACAAAGCTAGAGGAAACTATGTAGAAATCCTGGGTGGCAGAAAATGGATTGAAATCTCCTGAAACATAGAGAGATGTTGTTTTTCTATGTTAGGCAAATCATGGCTTTTAGTTACTTATGTTTCTTACTAAGTCTCTGAAGTCTGTTTTTGTAGAATAGGGTAAGCGTGAAAATCTCATATTTTGGGAAACAGCAGACATGAAGACTCCACAGAACTATGTAACCAGCTTTAATATATTATCAGCTAATCAGTGCTGTAGAAGCACTCAGATCAAGAGAAAGAAGCAGGCGACTGATATGGATGACAACATGCATCCACTAAATACTATGAGCTACTTTAAAGAGTCATTAGCAGTTTGATAGAGTTCAAATGTACCAAAACAGCGCAACTATTCTGTGACCTCTTAATTCTTTGCTTTTAGTTCCTAAACCCTCAAGAATATTTATTAATTCAAAAAAAGTGCAGTTCTCCAAGGTTATTTATTGACGTAGATCAGCATGGCTCTGCCTACTACTTATGCTGTTTATCTACTCCATAAAAAGCTTGCTGATACCATCATCATGGCTCAGGCTCTGCCTGGGTATCTCTGCTTGAAAGAGTTAAGGAGAAGTTATACAGGAGTATAGACAGTAAACACTCAGTCTGACAAAGTAAGCCCTTGCATTCTCTATCATAAACCTTCTCAATGTTTGTATTTGTCACTTGCGTTACTAGACCACCAACCTGAAGAGTTCCTAGCAAGATGGTCTAGGTCACAGCAGCTGATAGCAGTCCCCCAGAAGCCACACACCAGGGAGTGAAGTGCAACACAGCTTTTGCTGCTTTCCAGCCTCAGGGCTAGAGGAAGCATGGCCAGCAGCCAGGCTAGTAGCACTGATGAAGTCTCCCATGCAGGCATAACTCCAAATGGGTGACCTGCAGGTATTTTTCCACTGTGTCAGCATAGCCCAGCCAGTTGCCCTCGAGCTCATAATAAACACCATAATCCTGACTTTGTTGTACAACGGAACTTCTTTGTGGCATTTCACAAAGAAAAAGTGATTTAGAAATCTCTTTTGGTAGTGTAATACCTCTGAATTAGCATATCACAAAAGGAGAAGGGTTTGAATGAGCTCACAACTGACATTTCCCAAGAGCTCACTACACTTCCTCCTCCCAGTGCAGCATACCACCAAAGGGGATCAACGTGCTGCTGCAAAGTAGCATCTTTGGTTACTGCTGAAGGCAACTGCTCCCCTTGCCCTGGGGTACAAACCTCCCAGCAGCACACAGGTCCTTCCTGCCCTGCAGCAGGCTGCCCATCACACTTAGCACAGCTGAGAAGAGATGCTTGGCCTGCTATGGTGAGGAAGAAGGCACCACATGTGTGCCCCCAATAGACAATACCAGGGGAGAGCTGCCTCAGTGCTTTCCACAAATACAGTATTGCTGGGGGAAACAAGAGACTGCCTTCACAAGCGGGTAGCAGAGAAAACAGGGGTTGTGCAGAGGCACTGCAGTAAGGATGGCATTGAGATACTGTGTTAATTTGCTTCCATAAAAAACAAAAGGCAGCTATTTGCAGCAGCACAGAATCAACAGATGATCTGGCTTAGTCACTTTTCTCACTTCCTCCGTCAGTAAAGGAATTATTAAAGAACTGGGTTTGAAAATCATTTATTTTAGTGTATTCCATGCTCCTTTAATTAATTCTCTTCCTACTTGGTAAATTCCTTCATTCCCAGGTCATCTTTCTGCCCTTTCCAATGTCACTCTCTGCTTTTCTCTAAGCTGCCACTTTGTCCTCCCCTTCCCTCATCTCTTACAAGTCCTTCACACTACCCCTCCTGATCACTTTTCACCCAGTACCCATTCATCAGCTAGACACAGTGGTGTGATGGTGTAGAAATACCCAAATAAAGGAAATTGTCCATGAGGTTTGTCTTTTGCTAGAATCCTTCTGACATTTGCTTCCTCATTTTTAACTTACATAATGATATTCACAAAAGACAGAGCTGCTCCTCAGGCTTCTAAGCCTGAGACAGATGGTAGCCTCTGTGCACTAAAAGCTGTAGGTATGTCCATAAGCTGCTGGTACTGAACATCTTTTTCTGAGGCACAAAACAAGTTATAAAAGTTCAACGCATTATCTGCAATCATTTTCACTTTATTTTTAAGTTGGCCACAAAACTTTACATCACACACATTTTGTTTCACTATAAAATGAGGTGCAAGTTGCTCAGCGTCTGGTAGGTTTTGCCTGCTGTGTCCCTGCCCAGAACAGATTCCTCTCTGCTGAGGCACTGAGTGACAGACCACACTTAACTGCAGAGAACAGTTGTGGTACCAAAGGGAAATGCTACTTCTAAATTGATGAAAGCAGCAAGGATGTCATATGTCAGTGACTCCTACTGCGTAATGATTATAGCTTCCTCAACAGGCACAGTAAGAAAATTTTCAAGCCTTTCATTTACTTCCTCTTGCACAAGCCATTTTCTCCATGGTCTTCATGAAATGTCTTATTTGGCTTGAGATTCTCTATTTTTTTTTCTTTTCCATTTTAAACTACCATTGCCTGTTGCACTACAATGAGAGGTTAAAGTATCAGGAAGTAGAAAGGGATTAAACCTCCAAAACAAGATTCTGAGAGAAGCATCTCAAAAACTGAAGACTGAGAAGTCTTAAATGCAATCTGAAATTTACTGGGCTCATCTCTGCAGGTACTGGTTGGCTCTTCTTTAACAAATATAACATCTTGTGGAGCATATCCATTTCGATGTTTCTGCCTAGCCAAAGTGGTTTTGCACTCAACTCAAACCTGAGCTGTGGCAGATGAAAACTGAGATTTTAAAAAAGAGAAGTACAAAGTGAATGTGAAAGTTGTCATATGGCCTTCAGCAGGAATGGAATCTGAGCCTCCACTGACTTTATATTCTTGTGAAAAACAGAACAGAAAATCTACACAAGAGCCTTGATATCTCCTTTATATGGGAGATTGCGCTAAGATGGCAGTGGGATGCACCTTTGTCTAGCTCGTTGAAGCATCTGTAACTATCCCTGAGAGCAGGGAGCTTCCTATCTGCAGGATGTGCCTCAAAGTTGTCTGAAGGAAACTGACTTTGGTTTTTTTTAATAATAAAAAGGATTTAAAAAATCAATTATCATCTTGGTTAAATGATCTGCATCACATCTGCTGATACCAGCAACACAGCCATTGCTTGGACACTGGCAGTTGTTTAAGAAAGATGTCTTTTAGTCCCAACTCTGCCTTATGCTTAGTGAAAGAAGATGCTTTTCAATCAGATGAAGACTCATTCTCTATTTGCTGGCAAGGACGTCCCTTTGACCTCTGTTCAGTATCAAGAGAAAGGCACAGAGGAGTGGGATTTGTGAACCTCCATTCCACATCCTTGAGCCTCACAGAACCACCCTGAACTACCCAAGTAAAGATTATTTTTAAGAGGCACTTTATCAAACCATCAATCTTAGTGGTCCAAAACTGGTGTGCAGTTTCCAGAAGTTCCTCCTCTAACTTCAAAGTAATCTTCTATGTAACAAATCAAAGACTAGGGCTCAATTCACAGATGCAAGCTGTACTTGAGATTACAATACAGAACATAACTGGGATCTTTAGGTAACACTTGGGAGTACGTTTTTCAGCTCAAGAGGACATCATCTTTGACTAAAAATGATAGAAATGTAAAAGAAGAAATGCACAGACATCTGCACGACCAAATCTTTATCTAAGACCAAAATCTTCTAATCCCAAATACTTCTATAGAAACTTCTAAACAAACATCTGTACAGTGTATTAACTAAACAACAACACCAGGAATCTAAAACAAGTCACTGCTTCCCACAGTCTAAGAGATGAAGATACAGAAAACTGAACTAAATTAAAATTCTGGCTTCACAAGTAGAATGCGCACATTTACATCGGTAAGATATAATTCTGTTTTCCCTTTACGATGTTAAAAATTCATCATGCATTGGAAAAATATTCCAGCTATTCAGAGCAGCCTGCAGGAGGACTTAGAAGACCAGTAATGAGCTCTTATGTGCTGCTGCTGCGTGACTGAAGATCAACTCCAACACCACAACACTGTTGCTTCTAGAGTACCACGCAGAACACTATATACAAAGCACAGGGCAAATTACTGGATCTTGTCTGCATATATATATATATCATAATGTATTTTTCATGTCTGGAGATAAGGAGAAATCTTTGCATTTCACAATACGAGGGAAAGATGTCCTTGCTAATTCTTAAGGCTACCAAAATGTACCAATTCACCAAACCCAATCACCTTATGGAAAAGGTACTTAAATCTCTCAAACAGCAAGTGTCCTGAAACAACTCAAGAATGGAAGTGGAATGTAAACAAAATGAAAACCTTTAGCGTCAAGAGAGTGGCATAAAAGAAGGAAGCTGTTACATTTTGAGCACCAATGCAGCAAATATAAATCTTCAGGCACAAGTGAAGAACAGACTGCACCAGAGGGATCAAAGACAGGTGACAGTACAGTGGCTGATTGATGTCAGAGGAGGTATGAAGGTTGGAAAGACCGCATTTCCATTTCCTACACTGCTTCAGAAACCAGCAGCCAGTGTTGCATATCTACTGTGCAGAATGCTGCAGCTGTACCTGGTTCATTATACTTCAGGTTTTTGGGTCTGACCAGTCCTTAAATCTGCATCACTGTCCAACCTCCCCCTTACAATCTTAATAGTTCCATTGCTGATATGCCCAAACTGCCCATCTTCAAAATCAGAATCTTTTGTTTAATCTCTGTGGTCATAACAGTGCCAAATTAACACCTTCATACCTTCTACCACCATAGTCTAAAATAAAGTGGCTGTTACTAGGAAAGGAAACTTCTAACAGTTGTGTCTGTAAATCATAATACACATGAAATATTACATGAAATCAAAAGAGCACAAAGAAAGAACAGTTTCCAAACAAAGCAACTTTACTAGCTTACTTGCATGGTAAAATGCGAACAACATCGTTCTGCTTGTAACTCTCAATGCAGACAGCACAATGATCAAAGTCTGGGTCTGTTTCCTAAAATGAACAGAATGAAATTTCAAGTCAAGAGTTGAGGCTATGACAAATGTGAAAGTAATCGTGACTAGTATATGACCTCCATTGTGCCAAGTGGCTCTTACTATGAAGATACAAAAGAATGACTGGGTTATTACTTTTTTTTTTTTGTAAGTTATGCTGGAATATATCTCGTACATTCAAAACTCTCTCCTCATGTGGAGCTGATAAATGATTATCTGAAACATAAGCTGAGGCCTAAGATGATTCTAATACTAAGCTGGATTGCTATAAAATATAGTGGCAATTTTCCTAGAGGCTTTACTTCAGCTCAGAGCTAAAACTTCTATTTTACTCAGTTTGCTCTGTTTTGCTTTTTTCCAGGACAAGAATCCTGGAATTCTCTTTTGTAGCCAGAACCAGCACATTTTACTTATTTCAGAGTAGTCCCATATTTTTGTCTGCTGCTTACTTACAGAATTATCATAGTTATTATCCAGACCTGAAGACAGGGATCACTGACTGGCTCCCCTTTCCTGATTTACAAGTTATGATTTATTTTATTATTATAAACACCAGAATTTAAAAGTAGCTAATGAAAAAGGGTTGTTTTCATTTGGATGTAGGTACGGCATCAGCAATATAGACTTAAAATGTTTGGGCCTGTGACATCAAACAAACTGTGCCTTCTCTTAGTTCAAGTTTATTATTCTTTTTCTGTACTTTTTAATGCCAGCAATCTAGGAGGAAGCTACAGTCAGGAACCTCAGCAAAACAGCCACTACCTGGTCAGCACCAGACCGTGCTGCATGCACAGAATCACGGTGTGCTGCTCTGATGAAGGACAGGTTTTCTCCTACTCTCTGTTCACCTGAGTGTGCACCTCATGCTGCCTGTACTGCAGCCTGCACATCACTTGACAGTTTTGAATTTATGCTGTCAAATGACAGCATCTTTAATTTTACTTTGTGAAGGTTCCCCATATCTATATGCATTCCCATAACCACAGAAAGGATTTAGTGAAGTGGGCTGCCTTGAAATAAAACTACATAGGGAGGAGGAAAAGAGCAAAGACATTAATTCTGCCTCCTCTCTGGAAGTAAATTTTTCCACCAGTTCCTGATGAAGATAAAAAGATTATTATCTTTATTAACATTATTGCTGATAGTGTTTATAAAGATAAAACCAAATCACACTGAAAAAGTCCAAGGAAATAATTTTCTCTTAAAAATCAAACCATAGCCAGAATTCTCTTGCCTTTTGCAAATTAAAGAGCAAAAATTAAGCAAGATTGAGTGATTTTTTTTTCCTTTAAGAATCAAAGACAGTAGTGCTCCTAAAAGTGGAAAAAATTTAGGCCTTAACACACCATCTATTTTAGTTTATATATACTTATACTGGCAAGAAATATCACTGGACTAGCACTTACTGTCTTTCATGACATACCTGTTTATGCTCCCCCTCAGATTACTGGATATTCATATTTTACATAAGTGATTGTCCTTAATTACCAGTCTTTTGAACTTATTTTTCCTTTACACAACCTGCATATGGAATGATTCTAAACTTACAGAATTCCACATAAACAACATTAGCCCTCTGTACTCCTACCATCAAACCCCCCAGCCAGCCAGCACACAGAACCACTGTCACAGTTGACAGATGGAGCGCAAATAGTATTTAAGCAAGAAAAATGTCTTTGAAATGTAGAGGCTTAACAGCATACATTGATACTACGAGTTAAACAAAATACCACAGGACAAAGTAAACCTCCAACAGTGAAGGCAAAGTCATAAATCAGAAGCAGAAAGGAAAAACTGAGATTGTTTCCCCCAATAAATATTAAACATGATACTCAAATTTACCATGTTGAAATATTATTATTATTATACCTTATCACCTTTCTTTACTGTCCTGGTTGTCAATTTACCGATGGCTTTCTTGGCAGCATCTCCAAGACGACGCTAGTAAAGTGACAAATAAAAGAACACAAATTAACCCTGATAAACAAGGTTCATTACTGTTCTTTAGAATGACTTATTTGGGCCCAATACTAACACTGCAATACACGCTATGGCAGTAGGCCAACACCCAAGGCTTTCACACATAAGACAAAAAGAAAACACAATCAAAAGCACAGAGATGCCAGGAAGAAAAAACCCAATGGCTGAGCTCACAAATGCACTCAATAAGCACGGGCATAAACCTCATGGACCATATCAATGTCCACAAAAGTGATCCAACATTTGTGTGACAAAACTGATCAAACCCAGCCCACAGGATAAAAGCTAAAGTAACATGCCCTCCTGATGATTTCCATTACAGTCTGTTCATACTGGTTTTTATTCAGGATGCTGTATGTAATGTACCCCTGGTTCTCTTCTGAAGCTTGAATTATTACTAATTTTTTTCCCCTGAGCAGGCCAATTTTATTCCGAGACGTAAGAGATGCTCTCAGTGTAACCTAGTTTCTCTCTTGCTACTACCTGAAACCACCAGGATCTCACAAAGGAAAAAAATATGGGTCATGAAATCTAAATAAGCCAATACAGACTTAAATAAAGCTGAAATGAATACTCATTTGAAAATGAACCTCAACCTGAATGCAGAGGCCAACCTCTTTGTTGTTTATGCTGTTTTTATGACCACCACTGGTGGATGGAAAGAACCGTTTCTGCAATTTAAATGCTCATTCCTACTGCAACGCCTAGTTCCCAATCAAGGAAGAATGGCTGTTTGCTAGCTGGTCCATGAGATCCCACACCCAGGGTACTGAGTGGAATAAAGGTCATGTCTTCTTGTTTCAAGGACCTGAGACATCAGATTTGGTTTACATTGACTAGAAAAAGGGAAATTTTTTTATGTATTTAATCTTTCACCTCCACCATGTAACAAGTACTCTGCTTTTGAAAGACATGGGCTGTTTCTGACAATGTGAACTGTACCCATCCAAACCCCCCTAATCACTTGAAACAAATGTGTTGGTTTTCTGCCTCCCTTCTATATAGCTGAAAACCCTGCATAATGTGTACCCGCTGTATCATAGGGGATTCTCAGCATAGAAACTGAAACTAAGGCAGCTGCTTTTATTTGAGAAACACAGACCTCAGAAGTCCAGGACAATCAATTGTACCGCTGTTATTCTACAATTACATAAACACTTTTTTTGTGGTTTCCACAGAAGAACACCTCTTATTATTTTTAGAGCATGGATTTGAAAAAAATCAGATAATCGGTTCCAGGTACTGAAGAATACCCATGTAGGAAATGCAGAAACTGAGGGGATACTCTGGGATGAGGAAGTTATTGCTTCCTGAAGACAGAAATATCTTCCTAACTTTAACATTTGAGAAATAGGTCAATTTAAGCAAATCTCAATTACACGTCCTGGAACACGCATACTGGCCTATGTACTCTTCCATTTAAGAGATCCACCTCTTCCATTTTCTAATTTTAACAAATACTTTTTTACGCTAACATTGGAAATGCTCAGGACTTGCTATTTTCATACAGTAGAGACAGGCACACAGCATATGCTTGCTTTTAAAACCCAGAACTATCTTGATGGAAAAGCCACCACCACATGCAAAAGACTTGCATACATCTGGCGGAAGCGCACAAGAGCGACAATGTGAAATACCAGTACCTACTTACATCTACTTGCACTATCTACAAAACACAGCAATGTTTTCATGTTTTTGATTTTTCTTTTTTAAAGTGTGCTTTGACATAACTTAAAAACAAGATCATCGTCTAAACCAAGTTATTTCATCACTAACAGCACAGACTTCTCTCCGTGAAAGCTCTCAAGGCTCTTTAAAAATAAGCTTTAGCTGTCGCCACCTTCTTATTAAAGTTTAATAAGCTCAGCTTTTTAAACCACATAAAATTTTCATCAAGTTTTTCCTGACCTTTGTAAAAATCTAAAGAAAGAAAAAAGGTCATAAAAGCCCTTTCCCCATGGAGCAACTGTTTTGAAACACGGACATTTGGAAGAAGCCTAGAACCATGTAGGGGGATAGAGAAGGCCCAATTTAATATTCCATAGACATTCATTGAGTAACAGTTATGTTTAAACTTTCACCACCCCAAGGGACCACACTAAGTACTGGTTACAGTGTGGTCATTTAAGAATGACATCCTTAGGAAAATTTACAGGATGCCCATGGGACCCGCAGCATCAGATACTATTTATAGAAGCTAAAAAGGAAATCCTTTGTCAAAACTGAGGTTTTAAATTTGCATTTATTTTAGGTTTGACAAAACAGCGAAGCATTGCCTCACAGTGAGCTCCTGTGTATTAGCTGTAATTTGGGGGAAGGAGGGGTGACAATGGCTAGAGGCCAGCAGCTTTGTAAGCTAGCATTGACAGATACAGGCAAAGAGAGCACAGTGGTTTTCCTGAGGCTTACTGACCCTTCTTGATAAAAGCCAAGGCATACTCTGGAGGCACTGCATCATTAAGGCCAAGCTAGCAAAACATTCACTTTTAACATTTAATCTATATTTGAATTGATGACTTGATGTAGTCAAGATCTGAGTGTGGCCATACTTAATTGAGGTCTTAAATTAATTGCAAAAGAATGTAAAAAAAAGGCATACTGAACTAAATTTTACTTAAAATACATAGCCAGGAGAATTGGGTGGTCCATACCGACCGTAATCTTGCATAAAGCTGAAAATAAACACAGATCACTAATTAACATTCATGACAGATTATAGTTTGGAAATACCTCTTGAATTACCTTAATTACTATCTTTGAGAACATGGATGGAATTCATAACATTCGCTCTGTGTTCCCCTACACTATACAATTTCATTTCCTATTTAACTTTCCTGCCCATTCCCAACGTACATACAGTACATATTACTGAGCCAACATAGAACTGGATCTTCCTCTTAGACTTTTACTCATCAAAATGCAAATATTTTTCTTCAGTTCCATCCTTTCCTGTCATGTGATAAGATCTTGTACTGGTGTTGCTCAGAATAAAAACACTTTGGTATATAAAAATCCTTGTTCAGCAACATGCCCTGCCTTGGAACAAACAGGCTGTGAACACTAGTTTGATGGACATTATTTGTTCTCTATTGGCTACTGTACACAGAAACATCACTTCCAGAACACAGAGAAACAAGAGGAGTGCCCTTACCTGATTCCTGTCACGTGCACTTGTATACCTGATCTTCTGGATGAAATAAAATATTAACCATGCTGAAGAAATTATCATCAAAACAATGAACGATATTGACACAAAGACTAGAGAGCCCCGACTGAAGTTTTTAGGAGGAACACGGGACCCGACTGCTATTGCCATCAGGACAGAGATATTCTTTTCCAAGTAATTCAAGATCTCCTTAACCTTTGATTCTGTAATCATGACAGCAACAATGTCTCCAGTCCCTATAAAAAAAGGAGAGAAATATGTAATTTACATTTAAAAATAGCATATCACACACAAGATTTTCCACACGCAAAGCCATTTGACAACTTAGAGATTTCAATCTAAGCCATCTATAGCACACAGAACATGGTACTGGGCACTCAACTCATGGCTTGATCTTCAAAATCACATTTTCAAATTAAGGCATTAACATTCAAGCTACCTGCAGCTCCACACATAGTAACAGGTCTCTACCAGTCATTACACAGTACTTCCCACATTATAATTACCGTGTGCAGTCTGAACTAGCTTTCAGAAGTACTTTTGTTCCAGATTTAAAGCTGTGGATACCTAAATGGGCAACTCACAGCAAAACATTTAAACAATGAATTCAATTATACTGCTAGAGTGGTCTTAGTGCTGTGTACAAGTTGCTCTGGAGAGTCATGCAAGCTCCCCCGTGAGGTTATGTGGCTTTCACATGCCACCAAGGTTGTCGAGGACCTGTACACCACAGTTTCAGCACAGAAGCAACGTACATCACTTCTGTCTGAAGTGAAAGTAAGTCCGGATGCAAGGTGGAAGAGAAATGAAAAAAACTTGGCAGAAATTTGAGTGCTGATTTTATCATCCGTACAAAGACACGCTTGATAAGACCACAATGAAGCTGACAGCTTCATAAGCTCCATTTTGAATGTGTAGCCCATCTGGTTTCCATAGTGTATTGCCTCTAGACTACCTCCTGTCCCCAAAGGGAAAATTATTGATACAGGGATAGTGACAGATTCAAACCACAAGACTTGCTGAGAAAAAACAAAATCAACTGTAGAGAAGAGAGAACACCCATGTTTTAAAAGCAAAGGCCCTATAAAAAGAGAGGACCTTAAACTCAGGGCAATTCTGATATAAGTTCAAAGAAAGCAAAGTTTATAAGAAAAGCAAAGCCAGAAAGAAAAAAGCCTTATGAGTACCATTCTTATTCATCCAGCTCTATTTGCTTCCTACACTAAAACCCCTTTCAAGTCCTATTTTCAAATTGCTTGCAAAGTCTGCTCATCTGTTTGCTCCATCTGCTTGCTTCAGTTCACATTCCCTCACAGAGGAGCTGTATAATGCAAGTAACTTCAGACTGAGATTTTGGATTTAGAGTGGATTTAAGTTACAGAGAACCTAATGCGACAGTGAAGAGAGAATACCAGGTTCTATTTTAACACAATTTCTTCAGCTGTTTAATCAAAATCTGATTTTTAAGAAGTTACTGTATCCACAAAATGATGTAGAACACCCAAAGAGCAGCATCTTTGAAACCCAGGGCACAGTAAGGCAATGTGAAAGACCCAGACAGATAATTTTTAGAAATGGGGGCTTTAATAGAGTTGTGTAACAGTCTTAAATGTTATTTCATTGCGCTTTCAATTCACCATGCTAAATAGTAACTTTTGCAGTGACTACCCTCAGGTTTCAGAACAAGTTCCCCAACCCTGGTGTTGTGTGGACTGTGCTGAGAGAACTACTCAGAGGACTCAAAGTTGATAATCTCAGAGATTAAGATTAGCACAGTAATTTATGAAATATTCTACAGCCCCAAAATTGTTTTCTCCGAGAAACTTCAACTTTTCCTTATTTAAAATTTAAATGGTAAAGACATTCACGCCTTGTCCTAATAACATATCTAAGTAGCAAAAATGTTCAGTGTTCCCTTCTGATTTTTTTAAAACAAGTGTCACTAACTCAAAAGCTTTGCATAAGCAACCAAAATCCAACACAATTTATGGATATAATGGTAAAAATCCACCACTGACGTTATTTTCAGGTGATCTACTCTGATTTCTATTTGTCCAGTTGGGAACAGTCCCTGCCCAGACTTGCAGCACTTAATTACAGAACATGAGCCACCTCCTGCAAGATGCTATAAGTAGATGCAGCACATGCTCCTGCAACCCCAAGCCCCTACAGTTCAGGTGGTGCACAACCAATTCAGAACAAGTACTTGGTATTTTCCCTAGGCTTCAATACTGTTTTCTGTATCCAGTTTGGATAGCAAAGCAAGGCAGGGAAGGGTGTGGGGGGACTGTATTCCCCAGGGCACATATTCTGCTGAGCTTACCCAGTAGATATTTATTTGCACCAAGGAATTGTGTCAGTATCAGAATATCGGCCAGAAGCACTCCGTGTAGCATTCCGACAGGATTACAGATATCTGCAAGGCAAAGCTGACTAATACCTTCCGATACCAGTCCAGTTCTGTCTGAATCAAAAGTCTACCTATTCCCTGCTGCCCAGGAAATGTGACAAAGCTGACAATCTGTCATGCATTTTATATAAAGACCAGCACAAAGGGAACCACTGGCATGGCTGCAAAGTGATTTGCATTCCAAATGACTCAACTGGGAACAGCTGAAGTGCTACTGCTGCTTCTGACCCTTCGAGAGCCAAGGAGAGCTGCAGAAAAGCAAAATAAATGGTGCCTGTTTAACATACTGAAGCTCAGTGGAAACTGGGACTTGGTTCATCTGTATTTTTGTCAGGGGCATCACCCTAAATAATTTTAGAAAGAGCTCCCTGTCTGAGAACAATTGGGGGCAGGAAGAGAAACCAACTCATATTTTAAGCATCTGGAAACCTTGCATTTCTGAAACTTAAAGCAGAAAACAAAATCCCTCAGGTGAATACAAAGATTAACAGTGTTTGCATAGAATATGCAAAGTTAGAATACGGTCTTGCTATATAATCTCATGAAAAGCAATACTTTTCAGCCAAGAACACAGTGTCCAGGGAAAATAAGCTGTAATGCTAGCTAAAGCTAATGAACTACATGCTCAACCATATATGACGAGCTAGGACAGAGGGTAGGCCTAAGATAAATATTGACGCCTGTAAATATAAATCATTTAATTGCTATCATCCAAGCCCAGGCAGCTCTTTCTAGCATGCAATTTTACCATGTGCATGTTTAATTAGGATAGTTATACAACTCTATGTATAAAATAGAATGAAGTTGCATTAATCATTAAATCTGTGTAACAATACTTTGGGAGAGAAGGATATAAAAGCTAAGACACTAAAACCAAGAAGATGGGAAAAACAGCAATATCCAGAAGTTTCCTGCAGAGCTCTTAAGGAAACTGCTTTGCTCTCTCAGTAGCTTATCCATATCTCCTAGAAATTCTAACAGAGCACATTTAGAAAGTCAATAGTCATCTCAAAGAAAAACTACTAGTCTCATCAGAAGCAAATAATGGTTTTCTTTTATGGTTTGTTTTGTTGATTCTTAACTACCGAATGTCTGTCTGAAGCTCTAAATATGGGCAACTATGGCCAGGACACCAAGCTAAAGACACCCATGGTTCAAAGAGCAGACTTCAGACACCTTCCATCCACCTACTGTCCCTTGGAGGATGCAGGGAATAGCAGCCTGGCAAAATGCAACCACCAAACAGCTGATTTTTTTATTCCTGGACCTGTGAACAGCCCAAGCAGCTGCTTGACCAATACTCTGGGACAAGGGCAGGAGAGACATTTCCTCCTGGGCATATGAGCAACCTGGCACTGTACTGCTGCTACTCTGCTGCAATGCTTCAACCACCTTCACAGACAGGAAAGGCAAAAACTTAGGTCCCATCTCATGCATGGGAGATGTTGGAGCACCTGTAAGAGGCACTGAACTATCTTGATTTGATGCAACAAGGTGTGCAGAGAAGTGGGAATTAAGTCAGGTTAATAACAAAGGTTAGGACTTTTTTAATGGCTGATGTTTTCAGCTGAAGTCCTTGTAATTTCCTAGGCCTTTGATAGTGCCTGCTGATGCTTCAGGGAGAGCATGAAGCAGACAGCCTGCACTCATCTCATGCCTGCACAAGAATATAATTCTCTATTTAAATAGCAGACAATAATTAATTGTAACTGAATGCTGTTATGACTTCAGTTCTGAAAAACCTAAACTTTACACATTTATCTGAGTAATTCTGCTGGGGGATATTTTTGAGTACTTCCTTAAAAAAAAGCAAACAAAATCCCACCTTCCTGATACAGATAAAGAATGGTGCAGACAGTCACTTGCAGGCTGGATGCAGGGCATGATTCAGACATTGAAATGCCACCACCTACCTGACTGCAACAACTAGAACACTATAATGATAACTGGAAATAAAACTGCCCATCTTCACATACCAGCCTTCCCTAACCTATTAAAATCCTGTAACTGTATGTTAAGCACTTCTGAACACGTATCAGAAATCAAAATACAGCAACACACACTATTCAGTACCCAGGAAAGGGATCAGTCCTATTACTGCAAGTGACTGATTTCTTGAAATAACATTAAGTAACAGTGAAACCACTCCAACATAATTTAGCAGTCCACAAAACATCAGCAAAGAAAATGGGAAAGTACAAATGAAGAACTATGGTTATATATGAAATTTTGAGAATTCTATGAAAACACCAGATGACATGTGAGCTGCAAGGGACAGATGCAGAAGCAACAAGTACTTCTATAAGGTAAGGGATTTAGCCACAGAGGATATGATCCATGAAACCCATGAGGTGAGGGAAAGGGAAAGACATACTAAGCTATATGCAAAGCTGCACTGCTAGAAAACTGTAATTTTTAAATATGAATTCCATAAGTATTCAATAACATTGGGGAAAACCCACAAATTATTCAGATACGTTTTATTCTGATATAAACCAGAAACATGTCATGAAGAGTAAGTTTTACATTCTAAAAGAGGCTTTTGGAAAAGCAGACACCAAGAGCCTTGGCATGCTCTTCAGAGTAATTAAAACAGGTCTAGCTGCACACATTTTGATTTTGATCTAATCAGAAAGTAAACAAAAGCACATCCAAGCTGTCAACACACAAGTGCAATCTCAGGAGTAAAATATGTTGTTTGAGATATCCCAAATCAAATACTTCTGAAAACAGAAAACACAAAACACACCCGTAATGCCAGTTATTTCGTTCTGAACAAGGCAAGAATTTAATGCCAAGAACATACACCAATTTTAAAACTAGACT